TTTGCTTCATGAGAAGTGCCGTTCAATAGAGTCAGAGATAGGACTGTCGAGCTGGTATCTTTGAGAAGCACTCTATGTCCCTGCATTCAGGTGACCTGCAACTGACATTTCAGGGACTGAACTGCAAATACTGTGAAGTACGTGGAGGCTTGTGAATTAGGAGGTTACAAAGATAGTGAAACAGGATGCTTAAACTTTTAATGGTAGAATTTTAATTTTCAAATGCTTATTGGGATGTTGGATGCCCAGTTTCCTGTGCAGCTCTGAAAGTCTCAATAGTACCATTAATGGAAACCCTGTGAGATACTGTGATGCATTTTTCCATACAGGACATCAGGATAAACTTGGAGTAGCAGAAACAAAGCTCCTTCACACTCTTCACTGGATGCTGCTGGAGGCCCCTCAGGACTGCAGCAATGACCGATTTGGAGGAGACAGAGGCTCTAGTTGGGGAGGGAGCAGCAGTGCCTTTATCCACCAGGCTGAAAACCAGGGATCACCAGGACATCCCCGGCCCAGTGCCACAAATGATGAGGAGGAGAATAACAGAAGGAAGTTCTTCCAGAACTCCATGGCCACAGTGGAGCTCTTTGTGTTCCTTTTTGCTCCCCTTGTCCACAGGATTAAAGTAAGTGTAACACTGGTGGGGTGCTTGTGTGGAGACACCTCTGAGCAGGAAAAGAATGGTTCTACCTTTGTGATTGTTAATTAATTCAGCCTACAGCGCACACTGGGTGAGCAGTTGGAGTGTTTTAACAAGCTGGCAGAATACCACTGCCATCAGGAAAGAAGTACTTCCAGTGTCATGACCAATCGCTGCAGCATTAGGCAGGCACAAAGGGAAATAAATCTGAAGTGAGCCATTTTCAGCCCTCGGGAATGTCAAAGATCTGTGACCCCTGTGAAATCTTTGGAACCCTGGAACCTGCAGAAAAGATTGTGAGCTTTAGCTTGCTCCAGCAATTCTCAACCATTGCTCAGAAGGGCCTTGCTAGCTTTTCAGGGATTCCACCATGGGGCTGCCACTGGGATTTGTTGTTGTCATTACTAATCATCTTGATGCTAATTACCAGGAATGTGTGATAGTGGTGTAAGCATGGCAGTGGCGAAGGCAATTGAGCATTCCTTTGTTCTGAAGTTGGAAGCAGACTACAGGCTTCCTGTCTGCCAGGGTCCTTCTGTTGGTTTTAGGCTGAGTGCATCAGATTTGCAGAGTGGTATGATGAGGAGGCATTTTCCACATGCTCTGACTCCTGCCTCTTGTCATTAGTCTCTCTGGAGGGCTGCTGCTTAGCCTTTATGTTTCCAGTTAGGCCTCGGAAGAGAAACTGGCTCTGAAGAGTAGGTGCTTGGAAAAGGTCTATAAACGCATAAAGTGGTGGAGGCTGTTATCTGTTCTAATCCAGCCTTGTATGCTGCAACAGTTGAAGAAGGTAGGAAAGTACAGGAGATAAAGGATAATCTTTGGGTTAAGG